TAGGGGCTGACCAGCTGCTGACCGAAAGCCAGAAAAAAAAACAAAACCCCAAAACCCCATAGCAAATGCTTTATTTGCTCAAACTGCCTCTTTCTCAGAGGAGGGGGAGTGGGAGTCCTCCAGCCAGAGACTTCCCACCAGCCGGGGATCTGTGGCTTCGCCGGGAGCTGACAGCACCGGGGAGCTCCGTTTCCAGGTCTTTGTCTTAACTATGGATCAAAGGGAAAACTTAGTGAATGATTTCAGTATCTGACAGGTTCTTACATATTTGAGTCCCTGTGAAATATGGGGTTGGCCTTTCCGAGTCATTTGGGCTCTAGGAAAATATTCTGATGCTCCTGTGTCGAGCTAAAAAAAGAACTCTCCCCCAAAGTGCAAATGCCGCAGCCTTTTACACGGATCAGATAAAACTCTGATCAAACCGATGTAAGCTCCCCACCAGCTTTTCCAGGGCGAATTTGGCATGTTGGCTCTTTTTAATTCTTCTTAAACTGGCATTTCGCATCCTCTCCCTCCCCAGCCCACCCTTGCCCATCGGCATGGCTGTTTTCAGCTCCCCGCGTGGGGAAGGTCTGGGTTTGCATCCCTGGGGCATCGCGGACCCACGGCCTCGATAACACCCTGGGAAAAGTCCCCGTTTGCTTTTGACAATTATGAAAACCAGACGGGGGAGCTTAAGAGAAACTAAAGGAGCAGTTTCTGGACGGGGGGGGAAGACTCAAGCCTGAAATATGTCGAACAGCTGGAGGGATGCAGGGGATTTCAAAGGGAAGGCTGGGATGCCAATCGAAACGGGAGCAGGCGCAAGGCCAGGCTGCCCGGACCACATTGCACTGGTGCTTACGGGAAAAGATGCAAACAGGGAGGCACTTTTTTTTTTTTTTTTTAAATCTATAACATCTAGAAGGTATTTATAGGTCTTTTATCTCTTTAGTGCCTCGGTGCCACAAATAGAAGCATACGGTGCTTTTATGATACTTAAAGCAAACAAATAAAAACCTCACTGATTTCCAGAAAGGTTTTGAGCCATGCGAGCCTTGTCACCGATCAGTCTGAATTTAATTACACTGACGAAACTGCTCCTGCCGTCCGAGTTGGTGCCGTTGCTGAGGGCTTTGGCTCTTCACCATCCTTTCCTGCATTGGAGACAAGCCTTAATACACCCGGGAAGCGAGGGTTTCTCGGCAGCTGGACCAAAGCAGGCAATCGCATCCGCATGTGGTTTCATCTCTGGGTTTCTGCATCCCTGGTCAATGCCGGGTAAATTCCCGGTGGTCCTGAGTGCTCTCGGGGGTGCCCAGGGCCCCTCTCCGCCGGCTCACGCAGCATGCGGGGCAGGTCGGGGTGGAAGATGCTGTTGAACCCAGCCCCACCGGGCTCCCGGTCCCCGATGCTTGACCAAGCGAAGGTCTTGGAGGAGCCGGACAAGGCAGGGGAAGGTGCTTCCATTGCCCTGTGATGTGAGCACCGGGAATTTGGGATATACCTTTGCACCCAGGTGCTCCTGGGGAGCTGGTGCTGGCTGCCCTGGAGTCCCTTCCCGGCCCGAAGGCTGGAAAGTCCCCAGTGTGATTCCTGCAGGGCTGAGACACTGAAATGACTCATCCAGCTTGGTTTTTCTACAGATTAATTTGAGGAGGTTTCTTCAGCCCTTGCCCGCCCCCCCCAGAAAAGCCCCACTGCTTTGGGGTGGCCGTCTCGTGGTGGGAGGAACGGGGGGGCTTTCAGAAAACAGCCCCATGCTCCCACATGTCCCAGTTGTAGGGAATAACCCAGGTCCTTTTGTAGTGCTTGGGGGGGTCATTTTGTGTTATTGCCCCCCAAAACCCAACGGCTTCCCCAAATGGCCTCTTTCCATTGATCCACGGCCACGGGATATGCCCGTGTACCCAGGCTGTGCATCTCCTCCCTCCTTGCTGCCGGCGACAGCCTGTTTTGGAGATATTTCTTTTTTGCTTTGTTTTTAAAATCTCCATGGGTCTGCGAATCTCTCCTCTGTACAAAACTGCCGTTCCTACTTTAAAACCGCTGTGTGACTTGCCCATCTGCACGGTATTAAATTACTTGGGGCTTAAAAAGCCATATGAATCCTAGCCGACACCCCAGCCGGTACCTTGCTCAGACAGGCATGCAAATCCCCTGCGTGCATTAAGTGAAGTGGTTTTTCACCCTGGCAGCCGGTTTGCATCAGTAGCTTTCGGTGAAGTGATTTATTTTTTCCTCTCCCCCCCCCCGCTTAAAGGTCCTAGCACAGGGACAGCAAGGGAAGAGCATCCATCCCCCTTGGCCTTGCCCGCTGTTGTAAGACCGGAGTAATTCTGTCTTCAGGCACCTCTGCTGCTTGTTTTTGGGTAAACTGGGGTTTAAGCAGTCCTGTTGGCTCTGAACCTCCCTCCCCGTTGTGTGCGTATCAAAATAGTTGGAGATAATTTCTTCCCCCTGCCCAGGGCAGCCACCAGTTTGTGGATGCCAGCCAGTTACTGCTCTTCCTCCCTGAGGCTGAGTCACCCCAGGAGGCTGTGGACACCCATGGACTGGTTTCTTTTTGGTTTTGCTTTTGTTTTGAATTCAGTTTACTTTTTTGTTTACCCAGAAGGGTCAACCACAGCCAGATTTCACTGCATCAGCAGAATAAACCTCCGCATCTCCCTTCAGCGCTGGTGCTGCGGGAACTGGGGTTTGCATTGCCTTGGCTTGCCAAGACCCTCCTCATCCTCCGTTGTTGGCTTTAATGCCCAAACACCCCCGAGCCCACCTGGCTTCTGACACCTCTCCCCAGCAGATCACTGGAAACCCTCTGCATCCATCACATCCCGGTTCCCTTTGACTTTCGGATCACCTCCAAGCTCCCTGCGACCCCCTCGCTGCTTCCCAGCCTCCTGCAAGCGCCCGCACCGCTCCCCGCTTCCCACCCAGCTTCTCCCTGCTCTCATCCTCGGGGGGGTCATGTGGGGAAGGTCTGCGGTCGAAAGCAGCCTCTGCCTTCCCATGCCCCTTCCCCGACCTCCTCTGCTTTTCTGCTCAGTGTTTCCTGCCTTATCACCTCCCCCAGCTGCAAAATCGGGCCCCGATTCAGCAGAGCAGAGCCCTCTGGGGGAGGCTGGGGATGGACAGACCCAGGGGACACACATCTTGTCCCCCCACCTTTCCTCTCTACGTTACACCTCTCCATCCCACGTAACCTCAGGCTGTGAAATAGGAGGTAAATATTTTTCAGCGAGCCATCCCCATCACACGCCCAGCTTCGGTGCTGTTCCAAGCCGGGCACGTTTTTATTGCCGTGCCTCACCCGCTCCCGCATCCAGCCAAAATCCCAGCGCTGCCTGCCAGGAGCGTGCATGCCGTTCCTCCGTTCGCGTGCCTCTCCAGGGCTGCCTGGACTTGCCGGGCAGCTGGGAGCTGCCAGCACCCAAAAGAACAAGCCTGCAGGTATGGGACAGGGTTGGGAGCATCCCTGTCACGTCCTGAGTACACCTCTGCCCCGGCCCGTGGTCCCATTTGTGGTGGGACCAAGGAGTGGGAAGAATCACCCAGCACTGTCAGGCCACCCCTTCCCCTTGCTTTTATGGAGCAAGGTGCAACCCATCCAAGAGCACGTGGTGCGAAAAACAGAGGATCGCTGCAAAAACACAGCACTGATGGGGAAACGCATAATTTCCTCCAAGCACCTGCCGGTAAGGGAGCAAATTCAGCTTGCGCCCGGGGAAGATGCTGCAGGCGTTGCTGTCGCCTGCCGCTCTCTGTCCCCCCAGACCTGGAGGTGCAGTTGAGCAGCCATCCTCACCCCTTTCCCATCCCTCCTCACATTCCTCCGGCCCCGCTGCGGCTCTGCCGTGTCGGGATGGGATAACCAAAGCTGGGACCTGGACCAGACGTGGCCAAGCAGCATCCCTGGTCCCTCCATTGGGGTGTTTTTGGGCACGGAGCTCTCCCGGTGGTAAATCTCTCGCTGGCTTCTCTGCCCGGGGAACATCCCTATTCCCGCACAGCAGCACCATCTCCGCCGCTTGCCAAAACCCCGCTCCACGGGCAGCGGGTTGAGGGCTCTCACCGGCACCGCAGAGGCCGCGGGCAGCATCTCCCACCGCGGTGCTGCTCTCTGGACAGGCTGGCACCAAACCCAATTTCATTTCACTGCCAACCGAGAGGCTGAAATACAGCATTTTAAGTTTGGCTTGCAAATAGATCGTTTTTTCCTTCTTGCCAACGTAACTGAGCCCAGCGTGCCGAGGCTGTTTTATACCCCAGCGTTCCATCAGCAGCCTTCAAATTAGGGGATGGCAGGGTACTGACTGCACGTGTCCCGGCCAGCATCCCTCCCCGCATCCCTGGGATGCTTCCCCACTGCCTGCCTGGCCAGGGAGCGGGACCAACGCTGCTGCCTTGGACTCTCCTGCCTCGTTCCTGTACTTTGATTTGTTTTGTGGTGGCATTTTGTTTTGGCAAACTCGGGATAAGGCAGCGGGAGGGAGCGCGGGGCTGGCACGGGGTGGCTGTATCATATGGGAGCTGCTTACGGCCCTGCCGTAGAGCAGTTGAACCACAAAACCCAGGAGCAGCAGCTGAATATTAAATAAAAGATTTGACTTTTATTTAAAATAAAATGCATTTGTACATAGTCTTGAAACCACAGACTACAGGAACGCAACACTGGTTATTCCTCGGCATTAGGTGGGGCAGGAGATCCCTCCCCGTTAGCGTTAACACTGCACTGGCTTAACGAACGGGGAGGTCCTGGCCCCAGGTATCAGTTATCGAGGGTGTTGTGGCACAGCTCTGAAATCCCATTTAACTTAGATAAAAATCTACTGGACTGAAATTTGTTTTGGGTTTTTTTTGTTGTTTCTTGGTTACTCCCCATACCCCTTACAGGCATACTATAGTTAAGGCTGATACACCAGATCTATGCAATATTCTAGCTGGCTTGTGAGACTAGTTAAAAAAACTGTACAATTTTATAAAATTTGTGTTTTTTACATTAGTTACACAAAACCTATACTTCATAAACCTTTACTTCATATTGTAATGAAAAAGTTTGCATATCATAGGCAGAACAGTGACTATGCTGGTGAATACTAAAAGTGTCATAATACAATATGGTGTAAAAATAAAATAAAATTAAAAAAAAGACAATATAAATGATTATCAAAAGGCAAGTTAACAAATAAAACCAAGCTATAACAGACTAACAGAAGATCATCTTCAAGGCCACACGCAACTATCTCCAAAGTCATGTCAGGCACCTGTAGCAGTCCTGGTGCATGTAGTGTGAAAAGAGAGATGGCAATTCTACTTATGGGTAGGACGACTTCAAAACAGGTCAAATGTACAGAATAAAAAACACAAAAAAAGAAAGAAAACACTCATGCATTAAACATGATAAATAGACTTCATATAGGTTAAGCCCTGGATGGCTTTACAAGAAGATGGCTTAGAGTTCTCTTAGAAAATTGGCTATTTTAAGTCAGTCAAATCTTATCCTGATCTGCCCATCAGATTCGGTATCTAAAGGCCAGCGGCACGATCACCTGGCCCAGATACGGTCTTGTTATAGCAAATTAACAGAAGTGCTCATTAGTGCACACAGATTAACTGGTCTGGTAATGCAAAAATTTTCATGATACAAAAAAAAAAAAAGATACATTTCAAGCTTACTTTATTAAGCAGCATATTTCAAAGAACAGCTTTTTAAAGTTAAATATTAATATGGCCATGGAGTTTCCTCTCGGTATACAGTACATGGGACTCACACCCAACCACTGGTCAGTTTGTAGAACATCTCTTCATCTAAACTCTCATTCTGATCTTTCGCTCGTGTCGACAAGAAGATGTAGCCGCCGATGAACTCGTGAACCACTTTGCAATCCACCTCCGTGCAAATGAAGGACACCCGAACATCATCTGCAAACTCCACTGTCACCTAGAAGGCAAAAACACGGGTCAGCCTCACCGGCGCCTTCCCAAAGGAGTTACACTGACGCAGGCCCTTCCTTTCTGCCTTGTTTTTCTTTTCTGTTAACCCAGATGCCTTTTCCATCGCCTAAGCAAAATCCAGTGATGTAAATGATGATTTGGACTCGATGATCCATATGGGTCCCTTCCAACTTGAGATATTTTGTGATGCAATGATTATTGTTCAAACGTTTAGATACAGAAATACCTTTTATTGCTTTTTTATTATTTCATTTTTACGTAATTTTCAATTTTATTTATCTATTTATTTACCTAACTTATGATTACACGTTTTATTCTCCCGTGACTCAGAGACAATTACCCAGCATGTTTGCACCTCTCGGCGGTAAGCACGTGGCGACATCTTCTTTGCTTCAAGGGGAACAGGGACTGGGCACAGACCTGTCGAGGGCTGGGATTTCTTTCTAGTTTTCCCTGCGAGTGTATTCTGGTTTTCTAAGTTGAAGTTTGGCTGTAAAAATACTTAATGGGGGTTGGGGGAGCTCGTTTTGGAGTGACTGAATAGACTGTCCATTTATTGATGCCCATTATTTTTTTGTCCCCCCATCACTGACAGCTCTGCGGGAGGGAGGGGGATTCCCAGCAGAGTATCCAAGCCGAATAATTGGGATATCGGGGCTTGCAACTGGGTCAAAACAAAGACTCTGAGGCAGAGGGGAAGCTGAATAATTTCTCTAGCAACTCTTAATGAGCCGCAAACCACAGGAGAACAGCGCTCACGTATCCCTGGCAATTTTAATTATGTATTCCACCGAAAAGGAGCACAAAAAGTTTGTGTGTCCAAACGTAACGGTTGGATAAAAGCCCATCTCAGAGCCTAGTGAAGTGTCTACTGTTGCTTTTCATTACTTACAGCACAACCTGAGCTGTCCTGCAAGTAAAAGGAATTTTAGTATGGATAAGGCCCAGTGCATTTATGTTACTGGTTAGGATCATGCCTAAGAATCTGTTTTGAAGTTTGATTTTATTTAGCTGCCTTTGAGTGGGTGTTCAGAGACCAGAGAAAATCGTTACGCATTAAGTGTGTAACTGGCTGCATTAAAGAAAAATTCAGTTGGTTTTTTTCTTCTTTTTAAGGGTCATACTCAACTCCACCGGCAGTTAGGACAAGCTCTGCTAGATCTCCAAGGAGGGTGGAAGAGGAGTGAGGAGAAACTATCTTACATTAACACAGCCAGATGGGACATGCGTTAGAAAACAGCGATGTGAAAACCTGACTTTTTAAAAGCTGACTTACAAAGTCAACTTAAAAAAAGCCCAAGAGCAACGCCTGTCTCACGTAACAGGAGCGGGGGAAGCGGCCGAGGTGTACAACACCAGCTCACCATTTTAATCTCCCAGTTTACGTTCCACTGCTTCATGTTGCTGAACCGCCAGGTTTTGACGGCGTCACCGGTGCTCGCGTCCATCCGTATCAGCCGGTTGTAGGCTATGCCGATCAGCTCCTCCTTCTTGCCCCCCTGGAACCTGCGACACGGCAAGGGATTAATAAATGCACACCCGCAATACACGGCTACGTGGCTTAAATTCAGCAGCTGAGTTAACTTATAATTTGGTTTTATAAGTGGATGCAATTAATGCTTTTAATTCCAGTACCAGTGCAACTTCCACAGCTAAGGATGTGCTGCATATTGAATGGATTGTGCATATTTATTCATGAAATTCCTCCTGTTCTGCCCAGCAGACCCACCGACCTTGCAATGAAATGCGTGATGCCGAACTCCGGCAGCGACTGCCAGGCTTGAATAAACCGCATCTTCGCCTCGATGAGACTCATCTGAGCGACGTTCTGGTGGGCTTCCAGGATGCGTGCCGTGATCTGCGGGCGGCGAGACACACCGGCTTTAGGTGAGGGGGTTCGTTAGTGGCATCTTGACTGTCACGCGAATGGGTAACAACTCGGGAGGCATTTGGGAGCCAGCGCGGTTACAAACAATGCAGGTAATCGATAATTTCTGCCCTGAGGTCTTATTCCAGCTACAACTGCTCAAAGCCTGCGACCACGGCTGATAAACGTGGAGCTGCTTTTGTTTTGTATCTCCAGACATACAAAAGCAAATATAGATTTGAGCTGTCTGGAGGTTAAGAGCCACTCAGGCTCGGTTAGTTTAAGACGCAGGATGTGAGCAAACGGCGGGGCAAATTTCTGGTGTAGGGTTTCTAGTTTCGCAGCATAAATCACTGGGGACCATTATAAAAACCAAACAGGGCCCAAGTTTCTCTGGGGGGATGTGGGTTTTGTTAGATTTTTCATTGCTGCTCTCCAAACCAAAGGGGTTCTAGACTATTTTAAGTTTTATCTTAAATATATCTTAATTTTATTGTTGCTGTCACTTACCAAGTCTCTTACATAGCCTGGCTGTAGATGGCAAGGCGAAAAAAAAAAAAAAAAGAAAAGGAGGCAGAAAGAAAAAAAAGCAATCAGAAATATGGCAACAAAGCAAAGAAAAAGTGTAAATTAACTGCAAACCAAAGTTCAAGCAAAAAAACCACATGCACAATTTCTTAGGCAGAAAAGCAGCCAAAGTGAACGTAAGGACGGAGAAGGGACAAGCGAGCAGATATTCACCGCTCGTGCTGTCCCTGCCTGAGCACCGGTGCGGTCCCGGCGGGCCAGCGTTGTGTAGAGATGGTTTTGGTCCTTCTGGTGGATAAAGGGGAGGGTGAAGCTGCCAGCTCAGAGGAGAATTCTCCCCACACCTCTGCATAAACTCAAGCCCACTTACTCGAAAGGGAAGCTCAACAGCTCACTACGGGCTGTTAGCTCAATAGCTCCTTTTATTTGAGATATGCACAGAAATGATGGGGATGCTGCTCGGGATAACAGGCGGCTGGAGGATAACATCAGCTGGGCTTCCTGGGGATGCATCTGCCCTTGCAAGCCGGCTGGATGCTAATCTGACACCAAACCCCAGCACGGTACCTGAGAGCTGTGAATACGCTTATTTTGGGTTGGGGTTTTTTTTGCATTTAGGATTTGGGGCTCCCCAAACCCAACCTGCCAACCCTACGCTGCTGCAAGAGCACGTTGGAGGCAGACACCCCACGAGCGGGTCTGGGGCTGGTGTGCGACCAGGCGCCTCTATAAATCCTCCGGCAAGGCCCACTGCCAATTGCCATTTCGGCACCATTTGTGGGCTGTGTGACCTCCTCCTCCTCCTCCTCCTCCTCCTTCCCCCGTGCCGGGGCGCGGAAGGACCCTCGCGGCCGAATTCCTTGCATTCCCGCAGCTTCCATCCCTCCGTCCTTCCCAGCTGTGCCAGCACACATGCTGCCGGCAAACATCCTTCGCTGCTGCAAGCTCTGCCTCTGGCCGTAAAAGAAAAGCCTAAATCTGCTGTTTAGCCGATGTCTATAGGGGACCCAGCGTTTGCATCGCAGGCCCCAGCCCCGCTTGGAGCAGGGCAAGGGCTCGTGCCCATCCCCACGCTTCGACGGAGGTTATTTTTATAACGAGGATACCTGCATGGTAAGCAAGTTCTGCGAGCTAATATTTTTCCAGGTGCCTCCATTTTACTGAGTTCAAGCCTAGAAGGTATTATATATGTTGAAATCGTATTTATGCAGCCTCTCCTCCATCCAAGTGGATAAAAAGGCTTATTCAGAAGAATAATAAGGGCTATATAAAATATAACTCCACTGCCAGGAAATCATCGTGCTGTGCCAATAAAAAGTTATATTTTTCCTGCTTCTCTGACTTGCAGCCTTCTTCTGGGTTTGGAGAAATCGTATCTAGCCACAGCCAGCCTGAAGTACACAGGCTGCGAAGCTACAGCTGAACGATTAAGTCACCGAAAGGCCATGGAGCAATGCCTTACTTATTTTTGCCGCTGTCCTGACATATAATGTCTTTCAGAAAGTCATGCATTTATTTCCAGCGCAGAACAGTTCAGCCCTGTCATGCACGGATCGAATGTAGCGTGGAGTTCAAGCACAAGTCACAGCAACTCAAAATGAAGCAATGTTTCAAGGACTGGCATTTGGAAGTAGTGGAAAAGCAAAGACAGAAATACGCAAACCACATTACAGCCAAGTCTGGATAAAGCACTGCAAGCAACTGCAACTCCACTGATCCTGAGGATTTCTGCACGGACTCTGTGCAAGTGAAGGGGTTTTAATCCCAGCACCGGGGACCAATTTCATCTCATCACCGCTACATCTGTGCGGGGAGAGATGGGGGCAGCTGACCCGTGCTTTGCTGCACCATTGCTCGGTTATCAGCAGGGGCAAAAACTGTTCCCAAAATGTATTTTAAATGTATTTAAAATAAATGTTTCCCTGCTGCCGAGGCTGTGTAGGTGCACTGTCACAAAATCTATGGCATAGTTAAGGTCGTGGGTGCCATACCCAGGTGCTGGATCGAAACCACACATTTCAGTCAGCATCTCATTTTAGTAACCGCGTGCATCCGATTAAGTGACAACATCCGAAACACGTAGTGTTAAACGCCGGCTAATGCCAAAACAGGTGCACGGTCAGCCCGGTCCACACCAACACCAACACCGTGCTGGGAGAGCGGACGAGCACGTACCTGCTTGTTCTTGTACTTTTTCAGGTAGCGAGGAGAAACCAGACACTCGGGATTAATGTCGGTGGTGATTTGTTCTGGGATCAGCTGCGGGTCTGGGTTCAAATGCTGCATTTTCAGGAAGGAGAGGATGTTCTGTACTTCCATGCCGTAGGAGCTGTCGGCCATCGTCTTGCCCTTGGAGGCCAGGCGGCAGGCGGCCATCCAGCTGGCGTACTGCGTCTCCTGCCCCCCAAAACAGAGACCCCCGCCCGTCAGAGAGGTGAGGGTGCCGCCTGCCCTCCCACCCCCCAAATAAAACTCCAGGGAGCCTTTATTTCCCTTCCAGCCCCAGGAGACTCAAGCATGCACAAAGACGGGCAGAAACTTAGCCAACGTGTAGACTATAACCACAGGACAAAGCTGAGGAAGAGCAGGGGTTGATTTTCTACTCCAAATTCACACGTGTGCTCTGAACGTCAAGACCAGACACATGTGAGTGCATTTTCTACTTTTTTTTTAGTTAATGCCAGCTACACGGCACGTCCAAGCATGAGCTGATGGTGGGCAAAGGGTGAAGAGAGGGCTGGTCCAAGCGATAAACTTACATTATCGCAGCGAAGCCATATTTCATTCATTCCCTCCGCCACTGGAATCAGAAGTTTGATGTTAAACTTCTGACCAGAGATATTCACATCAGGGGTAACTTCACATCCTGCAAAGAGGGAGCCAGTGTTTAACAGGGTTGTGAAGAACTATGCTTTAAAAAGAGGAAAAAAAACCCCAAAAAAGGAAAAGAAAAAGCAAAGCTCTCCAACTAAAGGGTGTCCAACAGCATCTCAGTGCTGCAAAGGTCTTACACCACATCTCCGATGGGATAAACACTCTACATAGCAGGGACAAAAACTGTGTCAGATGTCTCTTTTTCCAAGTGACAGGAAAAAAGAGGGGGAAAAAGCAAGGCCTGATCTGAAAGCAATGAAGCCAAAGCTAACCCTCGCCCGCAGAATTAATCTCATAGATCCTGCCTGGCCTCATGAATGGATCTGATGGCTGGCAAACACCCTGTGTCCCCAAAATTTTCATGAAAGTGTAGGAAAAGGTGACCGGACAGGTGCTGACTCTCACCCTGAAAGCCTTATACATTATTTTGGCTGGGTGCATTGCTGCTATAATCAGTGGCGAGGTGTGAGCATCCCGCTTTTGGTGTCTGGAGAGAACTACAAGTGGTTGTATAAACACGGGGGGGTGATGAACAGAACCAGCCAAGTTAGCCCGGGCGCCGCTTCAACGCCGCCTCTGAGATTTTTTAAAAGTGCCGTCACAGCAGATATGTCAAAAGCTCCCAAAAAGGTCCTGAGGGCCGGGCTTCGCTCTGACTGCAGCCCGAGGTCACTTGGCATCACATCTGCTCCTGCCTCCACAGGGAAAAAAATGAGCTCTGCAGTTTGGTGGCTGCTGGAGCAGGAATGTTTAACTTGACATAAGAAAAAACAGCAGCTGTAGGAATTTAAAAACTCATGTGCAAGGCTCGCAGGGAGCGCTTGAGCGAGGCTGCTCACAACCAGCACCAGGGAGAGAAGGAAAAAAATTTAAAGGCAGCGGAGGAAGAGAATGGTCTGTTCTCTCCAGTGCAGCGTGTGCTCAAACTTATTCTCTGCCATGGGAGTTAGTTCAATTCTTTTGGACAGCCACAACAAAAAGGAGAACGGCAAGTTGTCTCCCCATGGTATCGGAGTGCTGGAGGCACTTCCCCTTGGGGTCACACGTACCACGTACTCACTTTCTAGAAGTCTAAATATATGCTATGCTATCCAACCCAGTCACCCTCATTCCTTTAAACATATTTACCCAACCCTAGAATGGCATGCCAAGAAAATAAAGCAGTAGGAAAACAAGATGCAAGAGGAGCAGCCTATTACTGGAATAAAACGCAACAGTGCCGACGCTTCTCTTTCTTACCTCTCAGGTTCATCTGGTGTGCAGGAGTTCCATTGGATTCCTCTTTGCTTTTATAGCAGGAGATAGAGGTATCTTTGAAGGTGCACCAATATGGCTTGTAGCCTTTCAACGTCAGCTTCTTGGGCCTGCCAGACAGGTTGAGGGACGTTACATTCGGTTTAAGCTCCTAAACGAAGCTGCTGCACTGGAAAACTCATTTCACCCTTGAAAACCTGGGGTCAGCAGCCTGGGGTATGCCCACCCCCGGCACAGTCCCTGCCTGGGAGCTCAGCCACCACTCGCCATCCCTTCACTACAATTTTGAGTCAAAAAATTGAGCTACAGTTGCGAATTTGGACTCTTCAATCCCATGGAGGTCCCACTAATTTGGGGCAAGGTGGGGGAGCTGGAGAACTGTATTACAAAAATAGACATGTCCATGAACCACTGCAAAATATGCCTCTTCACCCGCCACATTAAACTGGAACCACTCCACTCAACCTCTGAAAGAAGTGGTACTTCTAAAAGACTTGTCAGTCAAGCACACGCATGAGTACACTTCTTGTTTTCTTTTTAAACACCCCACATCAGAAAAGGTTCAGTTCTTTCCTATGGAAAACATGGATTTTACCCAACTTTGTGGAAGTAGCGATGGCCTTGCAAGCCTGCAGCAAAGCAAAGCACCACCTGCCATGGTGGTATCCTGAGCCTCCTCATCCCACCACGAGCCCAGGACCTTCCTAGAGCTGCAAGTTTCTGATTTTTCTTAATCATCCCTAACTTCTAAACCTCATTCAAAGGCTGCGTCTGCAGTTTCTCACTGCAATGCATCCCTCATCTCCATCCCAGAAATAGCTGCTGAACCCTCACCTGTAGGGATCAAATATGTGATGGCCCCAATTGCTTGTCTTCAGGGCTCTGCACTTTCCTTTCCAAGCAAAAGCATGCTGGGGGCTGCTCGGGGAAATTAGGGAGGTGGGGGAGAAACACGGCGTCTGCCCGAACCCCGCTGCTCCCACACCTCTGATGGACATCTGAGCTTGGGGCATCTGCTGCCTCCTCCTAAAGCCCTGGCACACACAGCCCTGCCCCATGCAAACTTTACAACCACAATTTCCTTTGAAAGCTGCCTCCCACTACAGAAGAAGTCACCAACCTCCAGTCAAGCCATCCCACACATGCAGGCTTTTCCACCCTTCACTCTGCATCCCTCGCTAAAGATACTTTAATACATCTTTACTGTCTTGAGCTTTTTGGGGGGGGTCCTTTACATTGCAGGGGAGAGAGAAACATCCCAAGTCTCTGCAGCAGCACCAGGCACGTATAGGGACATTTAGGACTTATATACAAGGCATACTAGGGACATATATTGCAGCTCCTCCCCAACTGAAGTGTGACAAGAGGCACGTCCAAAGCTGGGCCAGCTCCTAACATCGTGGCATTTACGTTGGGTTTCTGGCAGCAAAATACCCCCTGGCCCTCATTTTTAGGAGCAAATGGCAATTCTGTGCTTCCCTGTCATGGCAGGACAGCCTCAAATCCCAACCCCAGCGTTTGGGGCTTGCACTGGGCGAGGGGAGGGAACCAGCAGCTTCCCACTGCTCCATCTCTTGCCCCACCAACTGGCGCATCCGATTTGCAAGCAATTAGCTCCCTGAGTCGTGCTTAATTTTATTGGCAAGTAAGCACATCGAAGGAAAGAACAAGTTTTTTGTTAGTTTGTTTGTTCAAGGAAGGAAAAAACACACACTCAGATGCAGGGCACAGGCTGCAGCCCTGAAACTTTGCCCCAGTTAAGACAGACCACAAGCCCAGACAGACAGCCAGACCTTGTTAATTCGCCTTCGGAGAGGGAGAAAGAGTTTTTCAGAACAGAAGTACTAGGTTCTGGCTCCAGAACCAAAAAATTAATAAAATAAAGGCTTGTTCCAGAGCTATTTCACTGCCTACAGCTTTTCTTCTATATCCTATAGCTATGCTGTGAAATCTCATTATTTCCAGTTTCCAGAACTTTCACCGTAACCCTCGCCGCAGCAGGCAATAAATTGCAAAAGACAGTCCTGCCTGCCAAAATGTTACTCAAAGTCCAGACGCTGCTGTTCCCGGTTTCCACATACCACCGTCCAAGTCAAAGCAAAATTAAAATAACCCCTAAATCCTGAGTGAGCTGGAAGAGGAGCAGAGTCAGCTTAACCTGCTCCTTTTGGCAAGAAGGCAGACAGACCGGGATCCCGGCTGTTTATAATTCATCCAGTCTCTTGAAAACCAGGAGAAGTATTTGAGCAAGGTTCCTAGGTTTCACTCCTAATTTTAGGATGGCTTGATTATCTCCTGGGCATTAATTGTGTTAGAGAAATATCCCAGCACATGCTGCTGGCTATGGGATGCAGCAAGCTCCCCTGGAGGGATGCATACCTGCCAAGGCAGCGATCGTGGGCAAACACCCTGGGTTTTATATTTAAGAACTGATCAACTTCAATATCCAGTATTTTGAATAGTGTGAAATACTTAGTGACTGTGCTACAGGAAAAAGAAGTAAAATGTTTTAATAGTGAGAGAGCACAGATGCTGAGCTGTGGTGTTACGCAGCAATTGCCGGGTGGCTTTTCACACGAGATAACATAGTGGTGTGCAGCAAGATCTTAAGGCCAGGAGATTAAAAAAAAAAAGGATATTAGGCAGTAGGACCATTAATTATTCATAGACATTACCAGTTTCACAAGCACCTCTTCCCATCAGCACTTACTTGAAGACTTTAATGTAGTCGGCGAGCTCCGGGATGGAAGTGATGTCACCCTGAAAATAAAAGATTATCCCATTCACCCGCCTGCCCAAGCGGAGCCGGGGTGGTGGGTCCGAGAGGGAAGGGATGCTGCACAGGGGGGGAAGCCAGCGGCAGCTCCACCGGCCAACATCAGGGCTCAGGGGTCACAAAAACGCTCCTGAGAAAGCCTCATCCACTTCACGGGAGAAGCAAGCGGAGAAAAATCTATTGCACAGAAGTGCTGTTTAGAAACCAGAGGACAAGGTTTTATTTTTCTTTGAGGAATTCCTGCTGCCGCTGGAGCCAATTCCCACCCGCGAGGTCACTGGCGGTCACACCGGCTCATGTTCGCACAGGGATTTTTCTCCTCCCTTAGTTATTTCCTTAGACTCCAAACAAAAGGAGACGATGCTGCTCTGCACCTCCATGGTGGACTGGGGAAGGGCTTCCTGATAGTCTAGAAAGGTTTCCCCCCCGCCAGCTTTTTTAATATTGAGTTTATCTTCACATTTTCCATGAGCAAAATACATAGGGTGGCACTTGCAATTCCCACAAGCTCAAACTAAAGGGTTTTCAAAGGACAGAAAAAGCAAAGACTGCTCCAACAGCTTCCAGTAGCAAGACAGTTTACTTTCCATCTGCAATGAGCAATGCTGTTTATAGATACCACAGGGAAAAAAATGCAGAATCTAAACAAACAATCCAGTAATTGCCCATTACCCATATTCAATTACTCGAATGCATCTGGAAATGGCTACTGCTAGCAACCCCTATGGAAAGGGATGGAGTTTTTTGATGAATCATTGTCATCTTCACTCCTGTCTGGCAGGGACTGTTCCTTAGTACTGTGCTTTAAATCTGGTTTTGCAAAGAAATTCTAAAAGATCTCTTGGCGATAAAAACTTGTCACTATTTCTGTCGCACCGAAGCAGTGCTGCTCTCCCTGCGGCAACCAGTTAATATTATAAATCTCTGCTGTTATTAATGCTAGTAAAGCAGGCTAAGTATGGATGTTAACTTCAAAAAGACCCTTAATAAACACTTAAAAAGATTATATGAAGTGTAAGACTGGAAAATTTCAGGGATTTTAGGGTTTGAAAGAACTTAAAATGAAACTCAGAGATGGTATAAATGTGCAAAATGCCTGGAAAAGATTTGCTGTGCCAAGTCTGACCGGACCTAGTCCTTTTTCTGCAGTTTAGTTCTAGGGCTTTACATTTCTAAAGGTGGAAAACCAGTGTTAAAACAGTATATCAGAAAAAAAAAAAAAGAAATCCTCTGAAATACAGTCATAGCCCACTCCAGGCTGTAAAATTCAGTCTAATAAAAAAAGGGTTTCATAAGCATAAGTTATTTCTGAAAATCATGGCAGCTGTTTCAGGTGCTGTAAAACTGCCATGAATGAGAAACGATGGAAGAGAAGCCTCAGTGTGATGAATTCAGTATTTTGGAAAGTCGGTAGCGAGAACAGAAACCAAATTAATTTTAATTTTAATTTAGTCTTCCATTATTTCACCAGGAAGGTGGCTTGGTGCAGGAGGGGAGTTTCAGTAAGATCCTGGCTCCTCCGGGACTTCTCCAACACGATTTGGTCTTATGGTCCCAGTAGGAAAAAAGCAATATTGCACTTGACTTCTGCAGCAATGCAGAGCTGGGCACGGGGGATGGGCTGAGCTCCCCCTGCTAAATTAACTGCAAACACCCAAAAACCAGAAGACGGTCTTACGGCTTAAATGAAGCCTTTGGTTCAATATGTGCACGTGCTCAAAGAGGTTTTTATGCTGCTTTGGGCTCAGAGCAGAGCTCCAGCTTGGTGCTGGCCCCATGTCAGACACTGCCCAGGGTCCCTCCCACCGAAACTACCCCTTGGAATTTAAAAAAAATACTATTTTTAAGAAAATATTATTGGGGTCTATGTTTTATGTTGCTTCACTGGGCTGTGGGCAACTCTCATGCTGTAAGAGCAGAAATAGAAAAAAAGGGAGAGGAAGGAAATAGAAAAGGTTGGATGCCTGGAAAAATTCCCAGCTCGGGATGATTACTCCTGCCTCGTGCAAGGTGAGGAGAGGACGTGCAAGCCACCCTGCCACCGCGTGCCTGCAACCCTTACCAGGATCGTCGACGTTTTGCCACCTTCCAAAGTAATTTCCAGATCCGAGAGCGCAGCATCCACTTCATCCACCTCCTTGTCACTGTTGTTCAGGTGGTTTTCCGAGGACATGATGGACAGCTTATTGATGTGGTACTGAAAGGCAAGGCACAGCATTTCACCGGGATGCTCCTGCGATCTGCTGGATGCCGCGGGCTCGTCACGACACAACCACCACGCTTGGGATGCGGAGTGGAAAACCGAAGCTGTACCCTCCGTGGGAGCAGAGGCCAGCAAGTGCTGAAACCCGGGCGCAGTTGAGTAGGGAATGACCGGTTTGGCTGCTTTCAGTCGAAGAGTCGGTGGTACAGACCCTGAAGGACCGCTCTGGAGTCCGCGGGGCAGAGCTACTCTTTTCACAGCATCACAGCCAGCTTGAAGTTGGAAAGAAGCCCTGGAGGTCGTCTGGTCCTACCCCCTGCTCAAGCAAGGCCACCTACGGCCATTGTCCAGGACCATGTCCAGTTGGCTTTTGAGTATCTCCAAGGATGGAGACTCCACAGCCTTTCTGGGCAACCTGTGCCAGTGCTCGGTCACCCTTACAGTAAAAAAATGTTTCCTGATGTTCAGAGGGAACCTCCTGTGTTTCAGTTTGTGCCTATTGCCTCTGGTCCTGTCACTGGGCACCACTGAGAAGAGCCTGGCTCCATCTCCTTTACAGCTTCCCACCTGGTATTTAAATACATCAATAAGATCCCTCAGAGCCTTCTATTCTCCGGGCTGAACAGTCGCAGCTCCCTCAGCCTTTCCTCACAGGAGAGATGCTCCAGGACCTTCATCATCCTTGTGGCCCTTCACTGGACTCTCTCCAGTATGTCCACATCTCTCCTTCACTGAGGAGCCCAGAGCTGGAGCCAGTACTCCAGTTGTGGCCTCACCAGTGCTGGGCAGAGGGGAAGGATCACCTCCCTCGAGCTGCTGGCAATGCTTTGCCCAAGGGAGCCCAGGATACCATTCACCTTCTTTGCCCCAAGGGCATGTTGCTGGCTGATGTTCAACTGGGTGTCCGCCAGCACCCCTGGGTCTTTTTTCTGCCAAGCTGCTTCCCAGCTGGGTGGCTCCCAGAATATACTGGTGCCTGGGTTTGTTCCTCCCCAGGGGCAGGACTTTGAACTTCCCCTTGTTGAACTTCATGAGGTTCGTGTTGGCTCATTTCTCCAGCCTGTCAAGGTCCCTCTGGATGGCAGCACGATCCTCTGGCCTATCAACCACACCTCCCAGTTTGGGAGGATGTATTGCATCTGGTTTTACCCCATAAAACCAAAACATCCATAAAATCTCACACGAAGGACCATGCCCAACCCACCCTGGCTGGCTCGGAAAGGTAAACTGAGTCTTTATATTTCTGTTTTCACTTTTTTTCCCTAGAAGGGGCCCTAGGAGCAGACAGCCCTGCTCTTGATGGGGATATTTCTCCATCCTACAGCAACGAGGCACGCCAGACTACACATAGCCATCCGTCTCACAGAAGTCAATAGCAGGTGGAGTATTTATGCCAAATCACGCCAAGTATTTCATAAAACAGATAAATAAAAAGTTCTGGGAAACCCACAGATTATCACCAGCTGTTTGAGGGGTAGCATGCCAGAAACACAGTTCAGTAACCCAGTGTACTTACTGGGGTTTTTTAAGAAGGGCAAACCAAAAAGTTAACATAGACATAAACATGTTTGGTAAAAGAAGTCCAAGTTCCTTTTCATGAGAAGTAATCAACAGCAAGTATTTAAATTACCTAATAAGCTCAAGTGAGGATTAGGAGACGGGTAACGATCCAAATTCTACCAGCATGAGAAGTCCAAGCTCCCAGTGGAGACAAGGTGAGGCTTAAAACACCAGTTACAGCAGATTCCACTTATCGTGTTAATCAATATTCACCAACACAGAAGTCTGCAAAGCTACGAAATCAAGCTCAACCAAAACTGTAAGCGTCTCGGGATGTCTCCTACCTGCAGCGCTGCAAACATCATCATTTCCTCCTCCGTGCACTCGATCTCCTCCAGCAGAATAGCCCATTTGGACTGCTCGTACAGCTGATTGATCCTGATCGCGTCGTACTACGGCACAGCACAAAAACACGGACCGGTTGTAAAACGTATGAGCCCAGTTCAAGCCAAACCACTTCAACTTTCATTTCAATGCAACACTTCAATCCGAGACTGAGAAGCCTTTGCCACCGGAGTAGAGTGGCTCTAAACAACCATTAGAGCTTCTCTAGCAATACCTAAGCATTAGCAAACAGGTATGTGGGATCACGCAAACCTGGGTTTGATGCCTGCACAATCAATTTTCAAAGCGGTGGAGGATTTACCAGCACAAATGCACATTAGGGATACAGGCATCCTTTGCTCAAAGCCTTTGCCTGCAAGATGCAATTAAAATAAATAGCTCTGTACCTTTGGATTCAGGTCAAAAAAACTGTAGTACTTGAATCGGAGCAACAAAGCCTCATTTTCTTTCACCTCCTGCTCCATAAGAGATCGGGACGAATCCAGCCATCTGTAAATTGTCAACACGGGATAACACAAACAAAAAGCTCTGGCAAAGTCATGATGAGGCTTTCAAGAATGCAATTTAAAACTGCGTATTTAAAAAAAAAAAAAGGGAAGAAAATAGCAGAAAACCAAATCCTTAACTTACCCTTGGTTGATTTTGGCTTTATCGAGCAGTGCCTGTGGCTTGTACATTTTTGCTAAGGACTCCGGGGAGGTGACAGGCTGGCTCACGGCCAGGATGCCCGGGTTGCCCTCCGACAAGGCGCTGTCACCGAACCAGGCTGAAGTGGGTGACAGGGGACTGCCATCGTGAGCATCGTAGGTCGGTGTCATCGTTTTGCTATACAGTCCTGGGCTTGAATATATGTTTCCTACCAGTAAGAGGAATAAAAGCCAGGAGTTAGCTCAAGCCAATCCCTGCCTGCTCCCAACCAAGCCAACTCAGACACAAACCCGAAGCCAGCGGATGAGAAACCTTCCCTTTTTTCACCACTTTTTTTCCACGATGGGAAAACACTGCACTGCTTGTTTTCCCATGAAAAGCTGTCCCTCTCTCTCAGCTCTTCTCCAAGAGCAAAACTGATGGAAAACTCATTCCAGCCCAAATCCATGGGAAAAGGTGCAGGTCTCCCACGCCGGGAAACTCCTGCCCTTGCATTTCTGCGGCACCTGGGACACGAATGGCCCCCAACTTACCGGTATTACCTGTTGCTTAAAGATTTTGGAAGTCAAAAGTTTAGAGGAGCAGGAAAATAAACTAAGGGCGCAGTCAAAGAGACCAGAGGCAGAGCGCAAAAGTCCTACTGAGGTGGAGCTCACCTTTGACGGGGCCGATGTAAAGAATATCGGTGCCTATAGAGAGGGAAAGAAAGGAGGGGAGTGAGAAGGCGAGAGAAAGTCACCGGGAGAGTAGGAAGGGACAGAAGCCAAAACCAGGCATTTTCAGAAGAGAGCAGAATAGCACAGATGAGGTTTAACCACCCAAATGGAGCGTTTGCAGTGGTGCCGGTGGACTCGGCAGGCAAAGCAACCAAAGTGACTCCACGGTTATTTTATTCATGTTACGAGAAACAGCCGGGCACGGAAACGTGGCATTTCACGGACGGAAAAGCTTGCTGAGACGGTCAAACAAATTCGGTATTAATATGCTGAGCAAGTGGTGCGATTTGGTGCAAAACTGATCCCGAAGCACACATTACTCCCAGGCCTTTTAAAGCTTTACAGCTCGTACAGACTCAAAGCAGACAAAAAATACCCTTTTAAAATTACAAATTTGAAGAGAAGAAAGTGGACCCAGCTTGGTATCTCATACCCCAAAATAGCTGAGAGCTAAATAGTTCCTATTCATCTCACAGGAGCATTGATTTTTACGTTAAGAATATAAGATTCAGTTTTTCAAAATAAAGGAGGTTCAACAACCGTATCCTAATGTCAGTAATTCCAATGCGTATGTACATCGGCCAATGAGCTCAGCATTATTTGCTGGGCATAAACCTGTGCACCAGTACCTAGAAGGACCGATACCAAACTGGCTTTTTGGGAAAGACTTGTGTCCTTTTTAAATCACGAGCCTGTTCAGACGTGCAATTTGATGCACCCAAACTCCACCTCCAAGAGCACTATTAAGGGTGTTGAAGGTGGCATGTGGCAAGATTGAGATGCCACAAGCAAGGTCTTCTCTGCCACCTCCTGCTGCTGCCCTGAACCACCACCTCGGGCCACCCTCCAGCTCCTCACTCCAAACAATCCCTCCTCCCTGAGCGGGCAAGAAATGACAGAAAGCTGAGCTAGACATCTGGAAAAGTCTAAGACCAAAACAACAGAAAAACCTTTCCAAACTCTCATTTTTTTTGCCACGGGTATCTCAAGGAGCAGTAAGAACGGTTTGTTTCAGCAGCATCATACCAATGACAGCCAACATCTTAAAATAATATAGAAACGTGATTCTAAACTGCCTGACAGGATGGAAAATGTAAGTGAAAACCGTCTGTCGCCATTGAACAAGAAAACCACCAGGATGCTTTTAATGCTCCTGTTAAGTTTTTTCCAGGATCCCAGTCTGGATTAATGATCTGGGGGACCAGTAAGCACTATGGGTACCTGCCATCAGGACAGACCCAGCCAACAGGCATGAGCAAAAAAGCAGCAGAAATGGCCAAGGGATGGAGATATCCACCTTCAAGCTTCACACTTGCAAGAAGGCCAGGGGTGACTTGCCAGGTACATACACCAGGAGCAGAGCAGTCCAACAAGAACCAGCAATAAACCACTATCACCATCCATAAACTGCATCCCAAAAGATGCTCTTGCCTCCTCCCCATCCGCCTTCGCAGCGTGCCAGCCTCAACCTTCATATGGCTCAAGCAGACAGGACTGAGCATTAACTGGACCAATAAAAGAAAATCCCAATTCTTGCCCCAAATCGGGCAGGTTTTCCCACGGACATCCCCCCATTTAAGTGTCTGCTCGAGAGCAAACCTTCCCCTCAAGTGTTCTCCTCATCACCTTCTCCAAACGTCTGAACCATCTCAGAAGAAGCCTCCCTTAAAAAATTTGCCTGAGGCAGGCAATGTCACGGAAAGTTCCAGTTAAATAGCTAAAAGTTTGGTTAACTTATAAACAAGTGAATACAGGTCTTCTAATGGAAAGTGTTGGGCAACATTTACTGTGGGTGTATTGACAGCTCTGCCTACAGTGATTTAAATGGTTTCATTGCCAGGTACGGGATGCTCAGTGACAAAACATGCCCGTTACATCTACATGCACTGAAATAAGCAGATCCTGAAATATTAACATGTTTTACAGAAGCATTCATCACACAAACTAATGTTGGAATAACGCTAGAAACAGTTTATTCAGATTAAAAACAAGACTTTTAACTAATGGCACCTAAACATGGCAGGTAGCCGCAGTAATTAAACCTGCAGCAAAAGTAATTTCATTCACAAGGAAAGCAAAATCAGCAAGACAGTTCAAAGTGACTCACTGAAAGACCAATAAATAATTAAAATAAAAACCTATCTTTTGCGTACCTTTCCCCCAAAGCAGGCCAAGTATTTCCTATTAATCTAATGGAGATGCTGTCCACAAACACCGACTTTTGGAAAGGCTAATTACGGACTTTCAAGAGGAAAATGCCAAATGAAAATGAAAATTGACTGGAGCCTTGCCCGATGCAGGGAAGACTCCCTGAGCCAGGAGTGGGAGAGGACTAGCCCAGAAATATTTTTAAGTAACTGAGAGGAGAAAGAGCAAGACAGGAGCAAAAGAAGGATTATTTTTCCCTTGCTACAGACCCGTGCTGATGGTTTGCTGCGGAGCCCGTGGTGCACATCACTTGGGCATGGCAGCTCCAGGGCATCATCACCCTCACCCGCGCCCTGCGGAGCCAAAACCTTTCTGCTTACAAGCCCAGAGCCACCAGTGGCATTAAACCACGCTGCATGACCTTCACTTGTACTTCAGTTAATTTAAGACCAATTAATAGAAGTTTACTGAATTCCAAGATATTTTTTTTAATTAAAGCTGCTCTGCTTCCCTCTCATTGCTGGATTTAAAACCAAGAGCTGTGGCAGCCAGGCACGTCTCGCCCACCCAGCAGCGCACATCGCTGTGGCTTTCTCCCCAAGTCCATTTGGGCTAAAGTGCTCCCACTTGACCGACTTTATCATTTAAGCCTCTGCCATTTGCTTTCAAACAGCAGACCCCCAGCAGCCACGGATCGGAGCTGAAAAACACCTCCCTGCATCAATGTGCTGCCTGCGGCAGGAGATGGTACTCCATTGGTGATGTTACTCCGTTAGCGATGTTACTCTGTTGGCAATTCTCTTACCAATATTGCTCTGGTTCTGTAAGCCAGACTGGCAAACTAACCCCCAGTAATAAAAGGCTTTTTTTTTAGCATTACAGTCCAGAGCTATGCCCTTAACATAAGGGAACACTAATGCAATTAATAAAATATTGGTTTTGCTGGGCTATAAATAAGGAGTAGAACAGTGGTACTGCCTAAAACACACCTGGAATTCGACATTAGGAACGATTTTCCATTTAACTCCTTTCTTAATAGGGTAAGAAAACCTTTCAGTAACCCAATCTGAGTGTTAAAGTGGTCACACTTGGTTTCTGTTTTATTTTATAAAGTCTGGCGTTGTTGTGCTCCCCTACATGCGTGACAGCTTCAAGCATGCATCTGTGCAACCGTGACCGAGTGCTGCAGCCCTGGATGATTTGTGGAATTTATTTGGGGTCTGTTTCTTGCACAGACCTTAAAGAATTATGTCAGACTGATACCGCTATGTCATCCCCCGCCCCCATTTTATTATCTGTTTGCCTCCTGCCGACCCCATCCCTGCAAGCCCCGGCTCACCAGACCCCGGCGTGATCAATGGACCCTCCAGCTCGAAGGCATCGTCTTCACATTGATCATCCAACTTCTTCTTTTTTTTCTTTGATGGATCTCTGGGTTTCCTCAAAAGGGAGAGCTCTTCTGGATGCCTGATATCTGGGGAGAAAATGGACCACTCTTACAAAGGCAGGATGGAAAAAAAGGGGGGGGGGGAAAGAGTATCCTTCCTTTAGGAACAACACCCAGCAATGTGCAGTATCTCCCTTGGCTGATTTTTCTGCTTTGCAATAGTTAAAAAGCAAGTTGAGAACGTTCTCCCTGCAAGCCTGTCAGAAACAAGCACCGTCCTTGGCTGGAGAGGTAACATAGCATTTGGGTAAAATGCCAAATTTCCCAGGCACATCCACTCAAATGCAAATAAAAGCACTGCTAGACCCTGCAACACAGCCTAGTAACATTCCCACCCATTATCTTAAATATAAAAACAAATATAAATTAATATTAATATTAACATTAATCAGCAGGTAAACCCCTATTTAGGCACCTAGGTAACAGGCCAGGTACTCTCATTTCCATAGGAGCAATCCAAGAGTCAAGCCATTTATTTACATTTCAGACTGGAAATTTTAAAGCCTGTATTTAAGGCACCCACTTTTTAAAGAGATTTTGGCCAAAGTGTTTCCTTTTCACAGCAAACCTCTAGCCTCTCTCATTCCAGCCTGAATAATTTTAAAACCATGTTACTTAAAATTAAGAGCATCCCAGTGTGTTTGTGTTTTAAGCCATGGGAGTACGGGGGGCTAACGAAGAAGAGAATTTTAGGGACATTTTCCACTAAAGCAGTGCTTTGGGTTTGCTTATGCCTGCTGCAGATGCTTCCAAGCAGGAAGGAACTTTCCGGGAAAGCGGAGTCCGCCGTCCGTCGTACCACCGAAACCACCGAGGGACTGGACGGGAGCCAGGAGTCCCTCGCCGGCGCTGCAAAAACCAAGAGGGGAGAAAAAAAACCCCTCCATCTACTCTGAACTGTCCTCAGTCGATATGTGGGAACTGACCTGGAAAATCATTCACCTGGGCACGAAGCCATCCTACTGCAACGATGAAAGGCTGCAAAAAGATCGGAGAGCTCTGAAATACGGCTTGGATTAGAAAAAAGGAGATCGTGGGTCATGCTTGAGCCTGGAAGGAAGAGTTTCAGAGCTGGCTGTCCACGTTCAAGCCTCTGCATTGTTTCTAGCTCTGTTTTTTGCGTGTATTGCCCGTAAAAGCTCAGCTGCACGAAGATGTGGAAAGCTTGGGCTTCGGGATGCCCTAAGGAAAGCAGCTACTGGTCCTGTCCCCATCGAAGCCTGCAGCTGTAGCCGCAACGGAGACCGGGAGACAGAGAGGGAGCTGGCTGCATTGCAGCCAGGCTGTATTTTCCCACCAAGAGGAATGCTGAACAAGACAATAAGTCATTATTCTAACGAGGAGAGGTTACAGGGTTCGTATCTCACCGCCGGGGCTGGCAGCAGTGGGAGTTTGCTGTACACTCCCAGGCACGGGATTATAATTAAACCTGGAATTTGGTCCCCAGCACATGACCCGAGCAGGACACGTCCCCACGGCAGATGTGTCTGCCCCGACCCACGCTCACCCGCGCCAGCATCCTTCCTTACTGCAAATAAGCGGGGAAACGTCAGGCTGGAATTGAGCTCTGCTCCCCCCTCACTCCATCCAGGGACACACCATGAGCCCAGTAACCAGAAGTGCTTTTCCACATTTGTCAGGGGACGGCTGCCATTACAAACAGTACATTCCAAAAGTTACTTTTTTTTTTTTTCCCCCCCCACAAAATTTATTAAAGCGCGGCTTCCCTGACAGGTCACATCCCTTGGCTTCGTTTCCCTGTTTGCAGACACGGTGAGCATCACGGGGCCGGTGCATGGGGGGACACACACCGTGACAGCCTCCCTGCGATGCTATTTTAAGTAACAACCTGTGCTTTTCCCTTTTTTTTTTCCTGCTATTTTAATAAACAGCCTGTGCACCACCACCAACCCTGCCATGCCTGTCACATTTGGGGGATTTGATTTTAGGTGACCTCCAGGGATGGATCCGGCTACCCCTGGTGTTCCCACATCCAGAGACTGGGCACCTCTGGATTTAACCATCTCTTATATCGTGGGTCTGCCATCCCAAACCATCATCTGGCACAGCTTTAATTTAAGCATTAATTTTATTATATATTTATTTACATAATATTTATATCTTTTATTTATATACATATAAGCTTCGTTTAATTTAAGCTTTAACACTGATTTGTTATTGCTACATACACATTATCATGCTAAACTCCATCCCTACACCCACTAACCAACAGTTAGTTTCACCACACAACTTTTTGACCATTTCTAGCAATAAATACCTAGTGTATGAACCCAGACAGCTATTCGCATTCCCATTTATCACAGCCAGCTTACCTCATGAAGAAAAAATCTGCTGGGACAACCAGGGTCATGCGCAAGGGACAACACGCAGCACAGCCTAAAATGAGGAGTTCCCCTGGTATTTTGCTAGCAAGGTTTATACTCTGATGTTTATTTATGGTGCATTAGCAACTGATACAGCCTCTCAGCTGAAACCATTCAGAGAGGCCAAGTGAAGGGCTCCGGGCCAAGCTCAGCTCCTGAAAGCAATCTGTTGGAGACAGCCCAAAGCTTGACCATCTGATATCAAAGCAACTTTTTATAGTCCCTCAGTCGTTCATGACGCTATCGTTGGATTATAAAGGATACGGGCAAGTTTTCGGCAGCTGCTTTGAAACGGCGCATGGCCGCGGGGCACGGCAAAGGCAGCGGCATCCTTGTGATGCTGGAGCATCCCTACTCCCCTGCAGCCGCGCATGGTTCCCATCGGTAAGCCGCAAATTTCTCCCGGACAGCGGTCCGCTGGACATACCATCGTCTCCGAGACTTTGCAAACCCACTGATGCCAGCTGAGGGTTGCAGGGGAAATTAAAAATAAAGCCCGCCATGCTAAAAAGCAGAGGGCAGAAAAGCAGCAAGAGACCAATGTTGCTTTTATTTCCCACCCCAGAATTAAGAGGAAAAGGAAGAAGCAACTTTGATTGTTTCAATCTTTCAGTAAACTGCTGGCGAAAAAAATATTTCCCGCTGCTTATGATTAGTAAGCGTACAAAGGGTCTTAAAGCGTGTTTTGAACAGAGCTAGGCTTGGCAGACATGGTGTTTAGTTACTGTAGCTAAAGCAGAGTCTATCCCAGGGTGTAAGGGCTTGCAGATGGTAGGACTCCAGTTAATTGGAAACTGGGACAAAGGAACCGCTCCAGAGTCCCAGCCCCTGTTTTCTGGTCATAAGAGCAAGAGAAAGATCTTTAAAGTATCCAAGTGGTGCAAAAAACCTGAAGTCCTTTATATAGGTTTGGGCTTTTTACTAAGTCCCACTGCACCTGGTGGAGCCCATTTGCTGGAATTGTTCACCTGGGCTAAAACATCTCCCCAGAGTTTGACTTCAGCCCCAAATTCCCACTTGAAATCCTCTGTTAACTATTTCATCCGCATTTTCCAGCTGAAGCCAGGCTGCTCCTGCCAAAGATCCCTTCGAAGGAAAAAGGGTCAGTGAAACATGGGTGAACCAGGAGAAGTGACCTTCTGTACAAGGCTAATGTGTTGACTCTTCAATTGATGCATTGGTTGGGGCTGTGTTTGCTTTAAGAGAGACTCCTTGTCTGTACACACGAGACAGATGGCACTGGCAACGTCTACTAGAAATTACTGTAAATGATCCTTTCAGCATTTTATTTCTATTTATTGTGTAAGCGCATGAAACCCCAGCTATCCAGCCTCTTACTGAGCATCCCCGGCGCCACTGGTGGCAGCCGCCAGCAGAAACCATCTGCGACAACACGCAGTGTGCTCCGTATGGAGGGGAAAGCACTGCCCCAACTCTGTCCCAAAACCATTTTTCAGCTGGATCCAAGCGGGAACTATTTGTATTTTGACATCTTCTCCAGCCCACGCTGGACCAGCTGCAGCCGTGGCTGAGCCCTAACATTGCTGCAGCTCCACGTCCACGTCCTAGCAGAAGGGCTTCGTCAAATTTAGGGGATTTGTTGCCCAGAGAGGTTGTAGGTGTCCCATCCCTGGAAACATTCAAGGTCGGGTTGGAAGGGGCTCTGAGCAACTTGGTCTAGTGGAAGGTGTCCCTGCTCATTGCAGGGGGTGGTTGGAAGTAGATGATCTTCCAGGTCCCTTCCAACCCAAACCATTCCATGATTCTGTGATTTTATCAAGTGAGGGAAATGCCCTTTGGCAAGAGGAGCACACATATATGCATTTCATGGGAAGCATTTAAAAAACACAACCGGGAAGGCAGCTTTCAACCTCCAAGAGAAATTTTTCCAACTGTTGGATGAAGCCATTTTACTCCCTACAGCATCTTCTTTTCCATCTGCCTGCAAAAGCCTACTTGTGCCTGTGCTGTCTCCTGATGAAGACAAATCCATGGCTTTTTTTTCCCATGTAATCCTTCATTTCTTGTCCAACCCCTGCCGAGGTCACCCAGCCCAGCTGTGCCCATTTATCTCGCACCCAGAGACAAACAGCAGAGCTGGGATGAAATCCTTTTTTTTCATAGGACACCACACCGACTGCCCCTAGAAAACTGGCTTTGAAGAAAAATATCCGCCTTACAGGGTGTAAAATTCACAATTTATGCTCTTTTGCACTGAATCCACCAAGTAAATCTTGCAGCTGCTGCATTTTAACCACGAAGGTGTATTGCGATGGGAAAGCAGCTGCGGTCAGAGGTGGGACCAAAATCCACGTGTCTCGGCGTGGAAGAAGGGGTAATTTTGCTGCTTTGTCCCCATCCAAGATGTGGGGTCCCCAGACCACACCAAGCAGCATGTGAAGGGGTCTGGGGGCACCCAGTGACAATTTCTGTGCTCCGAAGGATGGGCTCAAACTCCTACAAGAAATCATATTTGTGGTTTTCTTGCACCACCTACATACGCAACACAGCATCATTGACTGGAAGGGCTGTGTGAATATCTACCAACTTCCCCAGAAATAAAAATTATAGGAAATCACACTAGTTTCAATGTTCAGTTTTGATATATAAGGAAAATTAATGCTCCAAAGAAGCGCTCTCAGC